TGACGAATTTGCTGTTATTAATGTTTTTGATTTATAAATGAATTTTTGATGATGGATCGTTTTTAATAGATTTTGATGGATGATAGTGATGGCGGAGCCGGTATCGACGATTGCTTGAGACGGTGTTTCATTAGCTCTAACTTTAATATGAATAGGTGATGATGTTTGTGGTGTCGTTGAAATTGATTGATGTTTGTGATGTCGTTGAAATTGATGGGTTTAGTGATTCGCTCGGTGGTCCACCATCGTCGGGCCCAGCTAATGAAAATGTGGTGGATGTTTACAATCACGGACGGCATGACGACCGCCGCAATTAAAGCATCCAGTTGTTTTACGATAAAAACATGCAATCGATCTATGATTTGTTAAACCACACACTTTGCATGGACCAAATGGATAATTTGAATTAAATTTTGATGATGTTGTAGAAGACTTTTGTAAATAACGATTTTGTTGCTAGTCTTATTTGAACTTGATGGTTGATTGCGATTTGCTGATGGATGAGTATTGGATAAATTCGACTTTTGCAGTGGATTAACGAATGATCGTTGATTACGAAAGGAAGAATTTGGATGATGATATACGTTGTCCTGAACTGTTGATTCTCGTTGTATATTAAATGTAAAATATGGTTGTTCTGTTTTAAAATCAGTATTTAGGGATTTTTCTAAAGTTTTCTGCAAATCTTCTTCTTTTTTAGCTGCTTGTAAGAAATTTATCAATGATTCAAATGGTGTCTGACGAAATAGTTCTTTACGAAATTCTGCTTTCGCTCTAGCTAGTAAATGCTGTATGATTGTTGATTCAGACACTTTTACATCTACTTCGCGACATAACGTTACGATTTCATCATAATAATTTGTTACAGATTCATTATCTTGCTGTTTACGTTGTAATAATTTATCAAACTTGGTGAGTTTATTTAATGACGATGAATATCTGCTAACGAATGCTATTTCAAATTCAAATAAATCTGCAAATGGTGAATCGAAATTGTCATACCATGCGCCGGCCGTTTTCGTTAATTTACCACGTATTATTTCTAATTTCTGTCGATCATTTAAACTCTCATCTGTTTTGAAGATGTTTTTAATTGATTTAAGAAATTTTTCAGCATCATCTGATGCTAGAC